TCCAAAGATGGGCAGAAGACCTAAATAGACATTTCTCCAGAGAAGATATACAGATTGCCAGCAAACACATGAAAGAATGCTCAACATCATTAATCATTAGAGAAATGCAAATCAAAACTACAATGAGATATCATCTCACACTGTTCAGAAAGGCCATTATCAAAATATCTAGAAACAATAAATGCTGGAGAGGGTGTGGAGAAAAGGGAACCCTCTTGTACTGTTGGTGGGAATATAAATTGATACAGCCACTATGGAGAACAGTATGGAGGCTCCTTAAAAAACTAAAAATAGAGCTACCATATGACCCAGGAATCCCACTACTGGGCATATACCGTGAGAAATCCATAATTCAAAAAGAGTAATGTACCACAATGTTCACTGCAGCTCTATTTACAATAGCCAGGACATGGAAGCAACCTAAGTGTCCATCAACAGATGAATGGATAAAGAAGATGTGGCACATATATACAATGGAATATTACTCAGCCATAAAAAGAAACAAAATTGAGTTATTTGTAGAGAGGTGGATGGATCTAGAGTCTGTCATACAGAGTGAAGTAAGTCAGTAAGAGAAAAACAAATACCATATGCTAATACATATATATGGAATCTAAGGAAAAAAAATGGTCATGAAGAACCTAGGGGGAAGATGGGAATAAAGACGCAGAACTACTAAAGAATGGACTTGAGGATATGGGGAGGGGGGAGGGTAAGCTGGGACAAAGTGAGAGAGTGGCATGGACATAAATACACTACCAAATGTAAAATAGATAGCTAGTTGGAAGCAGCCGCATAGCACTGGGAGATCAGCTCAGTGCTTTGTGACCACCTAGAGGGGTAGGATAGGGAAGGTGGGAGGGAGGGAGATGCAAGAGGGAAGAGATATGGGGATATATGTATATGTATAACTGATTCACTTTGTTCTAAAGCAGAAACTAACAAAAAATAAAATAAAACCATAAATGCTCTTAAATATTACCATACGGACTTCCTTGGTGGCGCAGTGGTTAAGAATCCGCTTGCCTATGCAGGGGACACAGGTTCAAGCTCTGGTGCAGGAAGATCCCACATGCTGTGGAGCAACTAAGCCTGTGCACCACAACTACTGAGCCTGTGCCCTAGAGCTCTTGAGCCACAACTACTGAGCCTGTGTGCCACAACTACTGAAGCCCACACGCCTAGAGCCCGTGCTCTGCAACAAAGAGTAGGCCCTGCTTGCCGCAGCTAGAGAAAGCCTACACGCAGCAACGAAGACCCTATGTAGCCAAATTAATTAATTAAAAATATAGATTACCATAAGAAATCATCTTTTCTTTGAATTTTAGCATAGAATATACTTAAGGTTTCCCTACCTTTGGATAATGTTGGCCCCTTTATACTTACCATATAATTTTCCTTTTAAGTATTCTGCAATTAATGGCACAAGTCAAGTACAGTATACTTTTAAACAAGTATGGAAATATTTTCTGACATACTTCATTTCTGTTTCTGTCATGCCCCTCTCCCTCATACTGTCCTCTCCACTTACAATATCAGAGAGAGTCATACAGAGTGAAGTAAGTCAGAAAGAGAAAAACAAAAATTGTATATTAATGCATATATGTGGAATCTAGAGAATTGGTATAGAAGACCTTATTTGCAAAGCAGAAATAGAGACACAGAGGTAGAGAACAAATGTATGGATACCAAGGGTGAAAGGGATGGGGTAGGAGGAACTGGGAGATTGGGATTGACACATACGCACTATTGATACTATGTATAAAATAGACAATTGAGGGGAACATACTGTATAGCACAGGGAACTCTACTTAATGCACTGTGGTGTCCTAAATGGGAAGGAAATCCAAAAGGGAGAGGATATATGTAAAATGTATGGCTGATTCATTTTGCTGTGCAGTAGAAGCTAACACAACATTGTAAAGCAACTGTACTCCAATAAAAATTAATGAAAAAAACCCCCAATATATGTTAAGTGCATGCAACAGGTGACACTCAGCTCCTTATCAGCTCTTCTAGGAGGTGGAGAGACTAAAATGAATGTTGTGATGCTTTGCTACCTAGCAGAGGTTAATTTTGCATATCTATTGGTATATTATTTAACACCAGCAAGAAAAACTTTTTGTATATTATTCTGTAACATGTTTATAAAAAGACATCTTATTTTTAATTATTCAATTTTTAAAACCAATCTGTAATAACTGTCCTGAACTAGCTGTGTAAACCTCAAGGTTTTTAAAAATCAAAGTAAAGTGAATGTAGAGCATAAATTTATGGTGAAAAACATTGGAGTGCTAATGCATAAACAAGACCTAAATCAGGGCACTATCCTACATTACTGTAGTCATAATGAATAGTGACTCTATAAAATGAGAAACTGTCTACATCATATGAATACTATTAATGACAGGGCTTTTTAAAAATTATTAAAATGGCAAGAGTACAAATAGCTTTTACCAGTAGTGTTCAGACTGTAATATCAACATTAAATCAAAGTCTACAGACAGAAAAGGTAAGAGATTTAGGAGATTTTAGGGGAAATAAGGAAACACCACTGAACTTGGTACTCTACATTATAGACAGCTGCCACAGGCAAAAAAATAAAATTAAATTAAATTAAAATAAAATAAAATAAAATAAAATAAAATAAATAAATAAATGGCAATTAAGTTGATTGTAGTATTTTAATATTTTAAAGAAAAACATATTAAAAATACAGATTTTTTTTTAATTTTTACATTCTTGACAGATATAGCATCACCTACCTTTCTAAAAATAGTAGGGGTAAACAACTGTAGAAAATGTATGTTAATTAGTGGTACAACACTATGTATTTAAAAACCCTGACACACTCGTACTATCTACTGCTTTGAAGTCAGATTATGGCCTAGAGTTAATGTCATGTTGGTTCCAAAATGGAATATGGGGTCCCAGGCCAATATTGGTAAACTGCACCTATTGTGGCACAACTTGTCCAGCCATGAAAGCATAAATCACAAAGAAAAAATCAGTTTTGTAAAAACACTTTTCCCCCTTTTTATAATCTTCTTTATTTATTCCGGATAGTTAACATAACAGTGTTCAATAGTGAAGTAAGCAGATTTTAAACTCACTATTACTGTATGGATAGAAAGAGCCATATGCATTTTTGTTTTTTATAAGTCATCTCTCTGCAACAAAGAGTAGGCCCTGCTTGCCGCAGCTAGAGAAAGCCTACACGCAGCAACGAAGACCCTATGTAGCCAAATTAATTAATTAAAAATATAGATTACCATAAGAAATCATCTTTTCTTTGAATTTTAGCATAGAATATACTTAAGGTTTCCCTACCTTTGGATAATGTTGGCCCCTTTATACTTACCATATAATTTTCCTTTTAAGTATTCTGCAATTAATGGCACAAGTCAAGTACAGTATACTTTTAAACAAGTATGGAAATATTTTCTGACATACTTCATTTCTGTTTCTGTCATGCCCCTCTCCCTCATACTGTCCTCTCCACTTACAATATCAGAGAGAGTCATACAGAGTGAAGTAAGTCAGAAAGAGAAAAACAAAAATTGTATATTAATGCATATATGTGGAATCTAGAGAATTGGTATAGAAGACCTTATTTGCAAAGCAGAAATAGAGACACAGAGGTAGAGAACAAATGTATGGATACCAAGGGTGAAAGGGATGGGGTAGGAGGAACTGGGAGATTGGGATTGACACATACGCACTATTGATACTATGTATAAAATAGACAATTGAGGGGAACATACTGTATAGCACAGGGAACTCTACTTAATGCACTGTGGTGTCCTAAATGGGAAGGAAATCCAAAAGGGAGAGGATATATGTAAAATGTATGGCTGATTCATTTTGCTGTGCAGTAGAAGCTAACACAACATTGTAAAGCAACTGTACTCCAATAAAAATTAATGAAAAAAACCCCCAATATATGTTAAGTGCATGCAACAGGTGACACTCAGCTCCTTATCAGCTCTTCTAGGAGGTGGAGAGACTAAAATGAATGTTGTGATGCTTTGCTACCTAGCAGAGGTTAATTTTGCATATCTATTGGTATATTATTTAACACCAGCAAGAAAAACTTTTTGTATATTATTCTGTAACATGTTTATAAAAAGACATCTTATTTTTAATTATTCAATTTTTAAAACCAATCTGTAATAACTGTCCTGAACTAGCTGTGTAAACCTCAAGGTTTTTAAAAATCAAAGTAAAGTGAATGTAGAGCATAAATTTATGGTGAAAAACATTGGAGTGCTAATGCATAAACAAGACCTAAATCAGGGCACTATCCTACATTACTGTAGTCATAATGAATAGTGACTCTATAAAATGAGAAACTGTCTACATCATATGAATACTATTAATGACAGGGCTTTTTAAAAATTATTAAAATGGCAAGAGTACAAATAGCTTTTACCAGTAGTGTTCAGACTGTAATATCAACATTAAATCAAAGTCTACAGACAGAAAAGGTAAGAGATTTAGGAGATTTTAGGGGAAATAAGGAAACACCACTGAACTTGGTACTCTACATTATAGACAGCTGCCACAGGCAAAAAAATAAAATTAAATTAAATTAAAATAAAATAAAATAAAATAAAATAAAATAAATAAATAAATGGCAATTAAGTTGATTGTAGTATTTTAATATTTTAAAGAAAAACATATTAAAAATACAGATTTTTTTTTAATTTTTACATTCTTGACAGATATAGCATCACCTACCTTTCTAAAAATAGTAGGGGTAAACAACTGTAGAAAATGTATGTTAATTAGTGGTACAACACTATGTATTTAAAAACCCTGACACACTCGTACTATCTACTGCTTTGAAGTCAGATTATGGCCTAGAGTTAATGTCATGTTGGTTCCAAAATGGAATATGGGGTCCCAGGCCAATATTGGTAAACTGCACCTATTGTGGCACAACTTGTCCAGCCATGAAAGCATAAATCACAAAGAAAAAATCAGTTTTGTAAAAACACTTTTCCCCCTTTTTATAATCTTCTTTATTTATTCCGGATAGTTAACATAACAGTGTTCAATAGTGAAGTAAGCAGATTTTAAACTCACTATTACTGTATGGATAGAAAGAGCCATATGCATTTTTGTTTTTTATAAGTCATCTCAGATCACTGAGATATGGCACATGAAAACAGAGATTCAGAGGCACAACGTTAATAAATTCATTTAACATTGTCAAGCATTCAAAAGATAAATGCAATCATATAGCAAAAAAAATCAGTTTGAAACTTTGACCTCTCCCAAGGATATGAAGAATCTTTTCACGTGTCAGAAATCTCTATAGCAAAGATTCCTATAAGAGAGAAAAAAATTATGTAGATTAATATTTTCAACTCAATGATTTCATGATGAATAAAAAAATGTGTTCTAATATTACTTTGGTAAGACTTAGGATTTTTCCCTCAGCTTCTGTGTAAGAAAACAGACACAATGTATTTTTTCACTCAGTTTTCACAAGCTGTGATACATCCATATCATGGAATACTATGGATTCAACAATAACAAAAGAATGAACTATTGACACACACTTGGATGGATCTCATGGGCACTGTGCTAAGACAGAAAAACCAGTCTCAAAAACTTACATCCCATGTGTGATTCCACGTATACAACATTCTCAAAAGGACAGAATAATAGAGCTGGAGAAGAAATTAGTGTTTGCTCAGGGATAGGGAGCAGAACGAGAGGACTGTGACCATAAAAGGGTATCATGAAGGAATGAGTTCCTCAGGGCTGATGGAACAATTCAGAACATTGACTGTGGTGGTGTCATATGTTCTCTGTGTAAAAAATCTGCACACACACACAAGCGCGTGTAAAAACTAGTGAAAACTGAATAAGGCCTATAGACTGGTTAATTATGCCAATGTCAGTTTCCTGGCTTGCCATTGGGGAAGCTGGGGGAAGGATATGTGGGACTATCTGTACTATTTTTGCAACTACCTGTGAGACTGCTGTGATGATTTCAAAATAAAAAAAAGTAAAACAAAGCAAAACAAAACTGTGTTACAGTCACACAATGGAATATTACTCAGCAGTTAAAAGGACTATCTAATAATATCTGATACATACAACAAGCCAGATAAATCTCAAATATGTAGTGTTGAGTGAAAGTCAGCCACTACAGACTACATAACACATGATTCCATTTATATGACAACTTGAAAAGGCAACACTATAGGAACAGGAAACAGATCAGTGGTTGAGGGAAAGTAAATTAAGTACACTGACTGTTGTCTGGATAATAGGTGGCAGTCAAAGGATACCATTTCAAACTAACAGCAAAAAGTTAAATTTTTTAAAAAAGGGTACTTTAAGGGTACTATTAAAAGTATTAATAGAAAGGTAACCATTATAATGGAACACAAAACTTCTTGAATATCAAAAGAAATGTTCACAAGCAAAGAATAATCAAATAGAGTAAATATCACATAGTAAATGCGGTTATCATAACATAAGATGATATGACAGAGTTGAGGCCAAATTTAGGTTATATCAATAATATAAAGGAGCTTAACTCAACTGTTTTAAAAAAATTTCAAAATGATTCATAAAGCAAAACTCAAATCCATACTATATAAAAGCGAGATACTTAAAATGCAGTGATTCAAAAAAGTTAAAAGTAAAGTGATGGACCAAGATCTACCAGGCAAATGGAGACAATAAGGAAACAGGAGTTGTAACTCTAATACCAGACAAAGTAGGCGTCAAGTCCTTCCTCCTTCCAAAAAATTTAAACGCATCAGAAAATAACACTTCATAAAAGCCACATTCACAATAAAGATATGACAGTTCAGAATATCTATGCCACAAATAAAACAGCAAACCACCTATATAAAACAAAATTTATAGGAGACATAAGAAGAAATAAAAACATACTAATAATAGGTTTTAAAACACCATTCTTAGTAAAACAAGTGAACAAAAATTAAAGGACATTATAAAAGAACTAAATAAAATTAAAAAGGCAAATCTTTTAGATATATTACACTATACTCTGATAAGAAAGAATATATCTTCTCAAGTGCACATGAACTGTTCACAAAAATTGATCATGCAGTAAAGTACAAAAAGCATCAGTAGTGTCCATAAAATAGAAATATTACAGACAATAGTCTCTGATCACAATGCAATAACACTCGGAATTAAAAATGAAACCAAAACAAACAAAAAAGCTCTTCTCATTGAAAATTAAAAGATTTTCTATCAAATAACTCTTGAGTAAAAGTGAAAATACAAACAGAGATTACAGAATTTCTGAAAAATAATGATCACAAAAACATTATATATCAGAATCTATGGGATATATTTAAAGCAGTGATCACAGAAAAATTCATAGCTCTGAATATCTACATCAATAAAAGTGAAGAATGGTAATAAATGAATTAAATTTCTAACTCAAAACTCTAGGGGAAAAAAACCCAACAAAGTAAATGAAAAAGCATAAGGAAGGAAATAATATAAATAAAAACAGAAATTAATAAGAAAGAAAAAAAGATTAAATCAATAAATCAAAATGCTGGTTCTTTGAAGCAATGAACAAAGTAAACAAACCATAGGCTAAGGTAATCACCAAAAAAAGGAAGAAACATACATATACAAACAAGAAATGACAAAGGATATAACTATTGATACAGAAGAAATTTTAAAATTTATAAGATATTGCATTGGTTACTTCTGTGCAAATAAATTTGAAAACCTAGATAACTGAAAGCCTAGATAACTTTTAGGCAAATAGAGAGAGAAAGCTTAAAAAGACCAATTTCCAAAGAAGCAATAGAGGACTTCCCTGGTGGTGCAGTGGTTAAGAATCCGCCTGTCAATGCAGGGGACACGGGTTCGAGCCCTGGTCCGGGAAGATCCCACATGCCATGGAGCAACTAAGCCCGTGCGCCACAACTACTGAATCTGTGCTCTAGAGCCTGAAAGCCACAACTACTGAGCCTGTGTGCCACAACTAGTGAAGCCCACACACCTAGTGCACACACTCTGCAACAAGAGAAGCCACAGCAATGAGAAATCCGCGCACCACAATGAAGTAGCCCCTTCTCACCGCAACTAGAGAAAGCCCACGTGCAGCAATGAAGACCCAACGCAGCCAAAAATAAATTAATTAATAAATTAAAAAAAAGAAGTCGTGTCAAGGCTTTAAAAAAGAAAAGAAGCATAGAAAAAGTTATTAAGGAAGTACACCCCACAAAAAAAAAGAACCAAGGCTACATGGTTTGACAGGTAAACTCAACCAAATCTTTAGAGATCAAATAATCCCCAACTATATAACTTGTTTCAAAGCATGGTAAACAAAAAATTTTCAAATTCTTTTTTTGAAACAAATATAACATTGATATCTAAACTTGATAAAAATAGCACAGAGAGAAAATTACAGACCAATATCACTTATGAATATTGATACACAGATCTAAAATAAATGAAGTAGTAGTGAACACCAAGAAAATAATACACTATGACCAAGTAGGGGCTATGCCAGAAATTCAAAGATGGCTCAGTACTTGAAAATCTATTAATATAATTCACATATTAATAGTTCTAAAGAGAAAAACCATATCTTCATAGATGATAAAAAGGCCCTTGACAAAAACATCCTTTCCTAATAAAAAGTCTTGAAAAAATAGTAATGAGTAGTATTTCCTTAATATCATAAAACATATAAATCTCAATCCTAAAGCCAGTATCTTACTTAATGGGCAAACCCCACTGGCATTCCCACCACAGGTCAGAATTAAAACAAGAATGTCCACTTCGGTACGCGGGCCTTTCACTGTTGTGGCCTCTCCCGTTGCGGAGCACGGGCTCCGGACACACAGGCTCAGCAGCCATGGCTCATGGGCCCAGCCGCTCCGTGGCATGTGGGATCCTCCCAGACCGGGGCACGAACCCGTGTCCCCTGCATCGGCAGGCGGCCTCTCAACCACTGCGCCACCAGGGAAGCCCCAAGAATGTCCACTTTTGCCACAGCTATTTATCATTATTCTGATGATACTGGCAAATGCAGTCAACTAGAGAATACAATTCAAGACATACATATAGGAAAAGAAGAAATAAAATTATCTCTTTTTGCAGATGACATGATAGTATATCTGGAAACCCCTAAAGATTCAATGACAAAACTTAATGAAAAAGTAAAAGAATTTAGCAAGATAATGTGATAGATAATTAACACGCAAAAATAGCATCTTTTGAAGATATAATCAATGGAGGAAACCCCGTTTACAATAGCAACAAAAAATAATAAAATATTTAGGAATGAACTTAACAAGAAATGTTCAAAACCTATATAAAGAAAGAAACAAGCCATTCCTGAAAGACACAAAGCAAATTTGAACAGATGGAAAGACATCTCTTCTTCTTGGTTAGGATATCTCAACATAATCAAGAAAAATGAAAAATGAAAGCAAACTGAAACAAATGAATCTAATGTATTTCAAATGTATACCATAACCACAGTGAAAGGAGAAAAAAAAGAATTAATCCAAGTAAGTTATGAACACAGTATTTGACTATATGCCCTCAAGACTTGGGAAAGGTAATGTATGGGGATAGAAAGGAAGAACTGCAAACAGATTCTGAACTTTTTTTTACGTTGGCCTGTTTATTGTAGTGACATAGATGAAGACATTTTGCAAGTATTTTAGATGCATTCTGGGGTTGAGCAGATGAACACCTGTGTTGCTGTTGTCAAGCAAATGCGCTGATGTTAAACCTTTCTTCTCTCACTGGAGAAGAAAGGATGTACGAATACAGAACGGAAGGAGGCAAGGGAGAAACCTGTGAGGATGGTTCAAACTGGAGGTATTAGTTATTGTAAAAAAAAAAAAAAAAAGTCTGTTGGCAGGGTAGGGGAGAGGGAGAGAGAGAGAGAGGGAGGAACAAGCGCAAGAGTGTGAGTGCATGCGACAGCATGTGTTGTCTCATAAACACAGAAAAAGCAAATGTAAAATTTTAATAACTGAGTATGGGTGAAAGGTTGCACAGATGTTCTTTGTATTATTTTATTTTTGTTAACTTCTTGTAAGTTTGAAATTATTTCTAAATAAAGATGTTTTTACGAAATTTGTGACATACAGGAATATATCTAAAATATTTTCCTCTGAAAAATTAGCCTATTATTTTCCTGAAGTATATGTATTTTATGGTGCTGTAATAATTAGCCAATATTTTGTCAATGAAAGTATATGAAAAAACTGTATGATGTAGAAAAAAAAAGAAAATCAGATTTTAAAAATATAATTTATGTAGACATTAGATAAAATAGACCTTTAACATATTTATATAAAACTAATTATCAAAATACTTTATTTTTATGTCTACATATCTAATTACGTAATGATGTTTAAATAGCACTGTTAATGGTAGACTGTTACAGAGTTTTCTTACCCTTTCAGATATTCAGTTTTTATTGCTATATGGTTCCCGAAGAATGGATCCTTAAACCACTTACTCTTCTAATGATCGATCCAGGCCTTGGTCAGGAGATCGATGGTGAGAACGTTCTGGTGAGTGACATTTTGTATTTGGCTTTATTGTGGAACTCAAATGATAAGCATTACTTGAGTAATTCTGGCGGCGAAGTTCTTGCACAGCTCTTTCCCTAA